TAATTCCCAGCTTTCCTCCTGCTGATGGAGGAGCTTTTTCCAGGGCAGGGGAGAGGCTGCCGGGCTGGGACAAAGTGCCCTTGGCTGCGCTCCGTGTGCCCCTGAGGTTTTCCTGCCCTCCGAGCCCCGTGGTTTCTGCAGCAAGAGCTCCCTGTGCCACCTTCCCCATCCACCAGTCCCACTGATCCGGCCTCCTGCTGGTGTCTTGAGGGCTGTGCAGGCTCCAGGCGACCGAAACCTTGAGCTTCCACTTAATTTACCGCTCTAATTGAACAGCTGGGAAGCGGGGTTGGATTGCTGCTCCCGGGGGAGCCGATCCCTCCTGCGCCGGTGGCTGCTCAGCACGAGGAGGAGCCGCCGGATCCCGGGAGCAAGGCTGGCCCTTGGACAGGCGTTATCGGAATGCCAGGTGGCTCCGGGGGAGCCGACTTTGGACCGTGGGTGTGTGCCGGTGTGTGCCGCTGCCCCCGGTTCTGGCGGTGCCGCGGCCCTGGCCCCGCTCCAGGCTGGTGACGGGGTGAAAGTGCTGACAGCTCTGTGGTAAAGTCCCTTCCAGGGCCAGGGAGGGGACAAACAGTGACAGGAGCAGGTCGTGGGTCACTCGGGGAGGAGCAGACCCTGCCACGTGACTCAGCGCCTCGTCATGCTGGAGTTAATTGGGGGTGGTCGTTACCCCCATCTAGGGGGTCCTGGAATGCGCCTCTTCCCGCCCTGGGATGAGAGTCCTGCTCAGCAGCCTGGGAGGGGTCTCTCCCCGCTGGTGGCGGGTTCGTGACCATCCCCTGTCCCCCGGCAGGTTCCGTGGCCTTCCTGGGGCTGTACCTCATGTTCGGCTACGGCGCCTCATTGCTCTGCAACCTCATCGGCTTCGCCTACCCCGCCTACGTCTCGTGAGTACCTGTCCCACCCCCTGCAGCACCTGGAGAGCGTTCCCTGCCTTTGGCTGAGGGTCTCCCTGCTCAGTGAAGAGGCAATTATGGCTGGGAAGCTCTTGAGGCCTTCCTGGAAAGGCTGGGACCGTGCCAGCTTGGGGCGGGAAGGTTTGCCCCAGGGTTTGGAGGATTTGGGAAGGAGGAGCCCACCCCAGGACTGCAGCAGCCGTGCCCTTCCCCTCTCCTGCCGCAGCATCAAGGCCATCGAGAGCAGCAGCAAGGAGGATGACACCATGTGGCTCACATACTGGGTGGTGTACGGCGTCTTCTGCATCGCCGAGTCCTTCTCCGACCTCTTCCTCTACTGGTTCCCCTTCTACTACGCCGGGAAGGTAACGGCTGTGCCAGGGAGAGGGTCCTCCTGCCCGAGGGCTGAACGTGGAGGGGCTGAGTGTGGTGGGCTCTGCCCCGTGGGGCCATCATGGAGCTGCAATCAGCTCAGATCCTGGCACCTCCAGTGAGCTCCAGCCTCGGAAGCTGCCGCTGGAGCAGGCTGGGGGGGCACTGGAGCAGCTCGGCCCCTGCCCTGCCACCCTCCGGCTGAGCCCCCGTTGTCCCTGCAGTGCCTGTTCCTGGTGTGGTGCATGGCCCCTGTGCCCTGGAACGGCTCACAGGTGCTCTACCACAGCATCATCCGGCCCTGCTTCCTCAAGCACCACGAGACCGTGGACAACGTGATCAGTGACATCAGCACCAAGGCCCTGGACGCGGCTTCCACCGTCACCCGAGAAGGTAACGCGGGTCCCTCCGTCCTGCTCCGTGTCCCGGCCGGGCACTTTTCCCCGAGCGGGGCTGCGTGGGCAGCTCACTGTAACCACCACCAAGGCACTGTTTCTCCATGCCCACGCTCCGTGCTGCCCCAGCGGTGACAGGAGCCCCTGCGGGGTGTCCCCTCTCTAACCTCTGTGTTCTCTTTGCGCCGCACCTCTGGTCCAGTCCTGCAGACTCTGGCGAGCAGCAGAGCCCGGCTGGCGGCCGGGGCGGCCCCGCAGCTCAGCCTGTCCGTATGTAACAGCCATGGCTCCCGCCGCCGCCGTGGGGAGACGGGGCCGGGCTGTACCGGGCGCCCGCCGGGCCCGGGGCCGGGGCTCGTGGCCACCGTGGCAGCGGCCAAACCGCCCTGCCCCTGCAGGCACGGCTCCCGCACAACCGGCCCCTTCTCCCGGGGCGTGGGTAGAGCAGGCGCTTCCTTCCCGCTTCTCCATAGCCAGACCCTTCCATCTGTCCATCCGTGTGTCCGTCCCTGTGTCAGTGTGCTCCTCACAGCGCTGCCAACCTGTGGCTCCCATCCAGAGCCCCCCGGGTGCGGGGAGCAGGACCCCAGTGCCACCCCTGTGCTCGATGGGAGGGGGAGGGAATGGGGTGGTGACCGGGATGGGCTGGGCCAGGGGCACCGGGCACTGCCCCGGGGATGGGCACTAACCCTGTCTGTGTGTCTGCAGGAACCAGAGCATCCCTGAGCCTGGCAGAGGAATTGAACAAAATGAAGTGAGAGGGGCATCAGCACCCCCGGTACCGGCACCGGCATCCCCAGTACCGGCACCACGGCCCCAGTACCATCACCAAGCTCCTGGTACTGGCACCGTCATCCCCTGTACTGGCACCACAGACCCTGGTACCGGTACTGTGGCCCCGGTACCGGCACCAGTGACTCCGGTACCGGCACCCCGGGCCTGGATCGTCCTCAGCCGGGATCCTGGATCTGTCCAAGCCAAGCCTGTCCCGTCCTCCCAATCCCCAATAAACCCTCGGTGCCCTCGAGCCGCCGCTCCCGCGTGTTCTGTGACACCGCGCGGCGCCTTTAAGAGCGGGGGCGGAGCCTGAGAGGGAGGGGCGGGGCTGATTGGATGACGTCATGTGGGCGTGGCGGAAGTGCGGCGGGACGCGGCCGGAACGTGGCGGGGGTCGGTCCGTCGGTCCGCACGCGGTACCGGGGATCTGTCTGTCCGTCCGGGGCGAGATCGGGGGGGGCCCTGTGTGTCCGGGGGGGCGGAGTGTCCTGTCTGTGTGTCCGGGCGTCTGTCTGTCTGTCTGTCTGTACACGAGCAGGGGGCGCAAGGAGGGCTCTGTCAGTGTGTCCGGGAACAGCGTGTGGGGGTCTGTCTGTGTGTCTGTCGGGAATGGGCAGTGAGGGGGTTCTGTTCTGCCTGTGCTGCGGGGGACGGGAGAGGGGGTGTCTGTCGGTCTGGTGGGGAGGGAACTCAGTCTGTTCACGAGGCAGCGAAGGGGTCTGTGTGTCTCCCCGGGGGGGGATTGAGGGGTGTCTGTCTGTCTTGGGGGGGGGGCAGGGAGGAAAGGAGGGATCTGTCTGTCTGTTCCGGGATGGAGAAGGTGGAATGTTCTGTCTGTCCATCCTGGAGGGGCAATGAGGGGGCTCTGCCTGCTGGGCTGAGGGGGACCGGAAGGAAGGTCCGTCTGTCTGTCTGTCCGAAGGGCAGCACGGAGGGTTCTGTCTGTCTTAGGGCGATAGGGAAGAGGAGGGTCAGTCTGTCTGTCTGTCCAGTGAGGGCACCTCAGGCCCCTCACCCAGCTGCCCCCCCCTTCCACAGCCCGCCCTACATGAACCTCGCCCGTGATGAGCTCCAAGGCCAAGCGGGTGCTGCCCACCCGCCCTGAGCCCCCCAGCGTGGAGCAGATCCTGGAGGACGTGCAGGGCACCCACCCGGCCGACCCCGTCTTCGTCCTCCCCGCCGAGCCCCCCCTGGACCACGGCCCCGCTCCAGGTGAGCCCGGGATGGGCAGGGGGGTGTGGAGACCCTCCCCGGTGTCCCACTGACCCCCGCCGTGCCCCGCCAGGCTCCCCCGACCCCGCGGCCGAGGAGCGGGAGCGGCTGTACCGGCAGAGCCGCTCCTACGTGGGGATGAACCAGCGGCTGCAGGAATCCCGGGAGCGGCTGCGGGAGCAGCGCCGGGAGCTGGAGCGGGCGGGAGCGGAGCTGGAGCGTGGGATCGCGGAGATGAGGGAGAAGGCGCTCTGAGGGCCGGGGTCGGAGCCCCGACTCCTCCTGGACTCTGGTGGGGCACCTCGGGACACCCCAGGGTGTGGTTTCGCCTTCCCAAATCGGCGTGGAACCGTCCGCGTTGTGTTTAAGGGATTTTGCCGTGGGACGTCCCCGCCGTGCCAGGGCCTGGCTCTGCCACCCCGGTGACGTTTCCCCAGGGAACCGAGGGATCTGCTGGGAAGGGCTGCCCAGCACGGCCACACAGTCCCAGTGCAGGAACAAAGGCTTGGACCCCACACTTGCTCCCTGCACTGGCTGCCACGTCCCCCGTGGGTGGCACGTCCTCCGTGCCCTCACACCACAACTTCCCCTACGACTTCTCCCTCTGGTACTTCCCGGAGGATGATCCCGTCGCCTCCAGCATCGCCCAGCGCCTCAGGCAGGAGGGTTTCCGGGGCTTCACGGAGCACCAGGACCAAGTGGCCGGGACGTCCGTCATCCTGACGGCCCTGGAGGTCATCGAGGCCAGCCGGGTGGCCATCCTGCTCCTCTCGGCCCGCTCCGTGGGCGACCCGTGGTGCCAGCGCGTGTCCCAGTGGAACCTGCTCCGCGTCATCCACCGCTGCGGGACCAGGTTGGTCCCCGTGTGCGTGGGGGTGACGAGGGCCCAGGTGCCCCCGTTCCTGCAGCACCTCGTCCCGCTGGACTACCAGAGCGAGTTCTTCTTCGAGCGGCTCCTGGCCAGCCTGAGAGCCCACCCGGGCAGAGGGGCCAGGCGGGTCCCACCCAAAGGGACACGCTGAGGGACCACCGGGGGGGTTGGCCGGGGGCCAGCACTGGTGGCCCTGTGGTGATGGTGGCGGGAAAACTGTCCTGGTTTTGCTAATAAAGGTGGTGGGAACGAGCCCTAACCCAGTGCTGCTGATTGTCATAACTCTCCCAAACCTGCTGTTCTGGTAGAGCTGAAGATGCCACTTTCTGTCTGCAAAGCCGAGCACCGAGGGGGCTGTGGGTGTTTCCCACCCCCACAGGTGTCACCCTGTGGGTGCCTCTTCCCCTTCCTGCCCTCTTAGCAGGGTCTGTGTCCTGCTGCCGCCCTGCTCCGCTGTCACACGGGACGTGGGGCTCCTCTGACACCACAGCAGGACACGGAGCAGGCAGGAATGGGGGCGAGGGGCTGCCTGGGGCCACTGCTGCTGCTGCTGCTGCCGCCTCTGCCTTCAGGTGAGCAGCGGGGTGGTGGGTCTGGGGTGGGTTCAGGGTGGGTCTGGGGTGGGTCTGGGGGGCCCAGCAGGGTCTCAGCGTCGCTGGCCGGGGTGGTGGCAGGTGCTGGTTGGGGGCCAGGACAGGATCTCCTCTCCCCACAGCGTGGGCCTGGCTCCAGCCATCGATCATTGGGGGACACGAGGCCAAACCCCACTCCCGGCCCTACATGGCGTCCCTGCAGTTTGGGGGGGTCCACGCCTGCGGGGCAGCACTGCTGCACCAGCACTGGGTCCTGACGGCCGCCCACTGCCTGGCCCGGGGGTGAGTCCGGGGCCACGGGGGGCTCGGGGGGCTCCCAGTGACCACACCGGGCTGACACCGGGTCCTGGTGTGGGGCAGGACACTGACCAACGGGAGAGTGGTGGTGGGGCTGCACAGCCTGCGGGACCGCGGGGCGGCCACACAGACCTTCCCCATCCGGGCAGCCTGTCCCCACCCCGGCTACGACCGAGGGACGATGGAAAACGACCTGCTCCTGCTGCAGGTGGGGCTCGGGAGGGGTCTGCCGGGGGGCGGGAGGAGCGGGAGCGTCGGCGGTGCCGGGAAACGCTGCCGGGGGGGTTCACACGTGTCGGTGCAGCTGCACTCGCAGCTGGGGCGAGAGGCTCGGTGACATTTCCTCTTCTCACCTCCGGAGGTTTCACACCTCCCAAAAACGTCTTCCAGCTCCCGTGTGCACTGCATCGGCTCGGTGCTGCCCCTCAAGCACCCACCTGTGCTGTTGGGGTGCTCTTCCTCAGCCCCCCCGCACCCCTGCAGCACTGGGGCACCCCCCTTGGCCCCTCACCTGCAGCACTGGGGTGCTCTCCCTCAGCCATCCACCCGCGGCATTGGGGTGCTCCCTCTGGAGCGCCCACCCAGGCGTTGGGGTGCTCCCCCCGCACCCCCACCCGCAGTGTTGGGGTGCTCCCTGCGCTCCCCCGGGCCGTGGGGGGGTTCTGACGCTGCCCGTGCCCGCAGCTGGAGGGGACGGTGACGCTGGGCCGGACGCGGCGGCTCATCGGGCTGTCGGGGCGGGGGCCGGCGGCGGGGACCACGTGCAGCCTGGCGGGCTGGGGGCTCCGCGGGCGCGGGGGGCTCTCGCCCACCCTGCAGGAGCTGGAGGTGAAGGTGATGGACCCGCGGATGTGCAACAACAGCCGCTTCTGGGACGGCGGCATCGCCCCCACCATGATCTGCTTCCAGGGGCAGCCCCGGGGCTCGGCCCCCGCCAAGGTGAGCGTTTGGGGGTCCGAGGGTTCCAAAGCTCTGCCCACCCCCAGCCACCGCTCCCGGGTGGGGGGGGCTCTGGGGGGGAAGCTCACCCCGAGCACAGAGGCGAGATGTCCCCCCAGGTGTGGTGGGGGTCCCCGCCCCTGGTCGGGGTGCGCTCTCTGGTGTCACCCCCGTCCCCCAGGGGGACTCGGGGGGCCCGTTGGTGTGCGGGGAGCGGGCGGCGGTGGCCGGGGTGATGTCCTTCAGCGGCCCAGATGTCACCGACCCGTTCAAGCCACCGGTCGCCACCTCGACCGTCAAGTACAAGAAATGGATCCAGAAAACCCTGCGGAGGGGCTGCAAGTCCCCCCAGACCCCAGGAGACTGAGCACCCCTTCCTATTTACACAGGTTGGCTTTTAATGGGAATACTGTCCAGAGTCTGGTAAAATAACATCCTTAGTACATAGATACAGTGCTGGGGGAGCAGGGCACGGCACAGCCCGGCGGGATTGTCCATGGAGGGGGGGGGACAGCGGGGCTGGGGGTGGGCCCAAGGGGCGATGCTGGCCTTCCTGCCACCCTGTGCTCCGTTACAGCACTCAGGAGCTGGGACACGTGCTGCCCCTGGGACTTTCCCCCTTTTCTCAGCCCCAGCTCCAGGCCTCCTGCACTGGTCCCATGACAGAGCAGGGGTCTCCAAAATGTGCCTGTCCCCACGACCCTGGTGCACTGTCCCTGCAGCCCCTGTGGCACTGGTATGGGGGGACATATGGGGGGACACATAGGTCACCCCATCAAAAGCAGGTGGTGATGATGGGACGACTGGGAGATGCCCAAGGGATCAGGGAGCACCTGGATTAGGGAGTCCCTTTGCAGCCCATCCCACTCCCAGGGGCCAAGGCACTTCCATCACACCCCAGTCTTGGCACCTGGGGCCAGTTGGCAGCAGGATTGGGGTGTCCCCGGGGTTTTGAGGCTGGGAGCCCCCCGTGGGCGTAATCCAGTCCTGGATGGATTCGTGTCCACATCCACAAGGACACACTGGGATCCTGGCTGCAAGCTGGGACAGGGATCTTCTGCCCTGGGGATGGGAAGCTGGGGAGCTGCAGATGGAGGGGAGGGACCCCAGACCCTTCCCTGGGAGTTGGTCACCCTGGTGCCAGCTCAGCACCCTGTCCCCTCCTAGGGCAGCTCCTCAGCCTGGTGACATGACCCTGTGAAAAACCCCTCAGGATGAGCCCATCAGGACCCCAGACACCCCAGTGAGCCCCTGCCTGGCTCCCCCTGCACCATTTCCACCCTCCACCACCTCAGACCAGCGCAGGGACCTCGGCTGCTGGTCCCTCCAGCAGCACAAATGGGGGTCCTGGCCCCCGTCACCCCCACAAAGCCTCTCCCCTGCATCCCCTTCCCCCATTAATAAATGAGCTGTGACTGCTGGCAGAGCCAGTGTTGGTACCAGAGGAGCTGGAGCACCCAGGGGTGTCCCTGTACCGGGCTGTGCCGTGCCGGCTTCCCGGCATGTGGGATCGGACCCTGGTTCAGACCCCTGCCCATGGTGGGTGAGGGAGATGGGGGGATGTGGGGACACCATCCCCCCTCATCTTGTCCCGGGTTGTCCATCAGCAGGAGGAGATGGTCCATGAGACTCACCCCAGGTTGGGGTGTCAGCCCCAAGTGTGTCCCCAGCCAAGTCCAGTCCTTGGCACTGGGAACTGTGATGCTCCAGCACAGCAAGACCCCAGCGGGGCCGGCAGCGGGTGGGGGTGACTCACTGGTCCCCAGCTGTCCCACATCAGTGTGTGTGTGTCCCCAGCACAGTCCCGCTCAGCTCCTGTGGGCTGGGGGGGTCACAGGACCCTCACTGGGGCCTCATCCGTGGCAGCTGCTCAAGCTTGGATTTTCTCCACCGCCTTGTCGGCCACGGCCGTCACCGCCATGGGGCTGGGGACGTAGTTGAAGGGGGTGACACGGGCGGCCTTGCTGGGGGAGCCGTGTCGGCTGGCGGGGAAGGTCCCGGCGGGCGCCTCGTGGCCGAAGGAGATGGGCAGGGCAGCCTTGGCGGGCGCGGGGGCTTCGCCGTCGCCGGTGACACGGGGGTGAGGGGGTCCCTCGCGGGTCTCCAGCGTGGGAGAGGTGCTGGAGTTGGTCTTGGAGGCGGCGAAGTCCTCGGTCTGCACCACGGCGTCGCTGGTCTTCCTGGGGCCGGGGGCGCTGGGGGGCTCGTCCTCGCCGGAGCCCGCCAGCGGCAGGGCGGAGGAGGGCAGCGTGCTCTTGAGGATGTGGGGGATGTCTTCGTCCCGAATCCTCCGCCACGTGCCCTTCATCACCACCACCGGCGGCTTCCCCGGCTGCCCCTCGGGAGCCACCTCGGGCTGCCGGCGCCGCGCCGGCGCCTCGGAGCGCACGGAGGAGGAGGAGGACGGGCTGCCCGCCCGCCGCGCCACGCTGATGTTGGGCGAGGACGAGTATCGCTTGAAGGGCTCGGCCGTGGGGGTGCTGGTCTTCACCGGCAGCCGGGACGGGCTCTCGGAGCTGGTCCTGCGCGGCGGCTTCGCCCCGGCGCTGGTTTTGGCGCCAGGTTGGGCTCTGGGGGCGAGGGGCCGCGGGCCAGAGGATGCTGGCTTGGCCGCCTTGAGCTCGTCGCAGCGGGAGGAGCAGAGGAACACGGCCGGGAGGGCGGCACGGCTGCGCTGAGGGGACCCCCGGCGGGGCAGCGAGGCCGCGGGGGCCGGCGGGGCCAGCTCGGCGCGGTGCCGCAGCAGCAGGCTGGAGGACTCCTTGATGAAGGTGAGCTGGCGCAGGAAGCCGGAGCGGTCCGAGTCGCTGCCGCTGGAGCGGGCGGATGACATCCGCACCAGGTTGAGGCGGCTGCCCCCCTGCCCCCCGGCCCGAGCCTTGGAGCCGTCCACCTGCTCCTCCAGCACCGGCATGGCCCCCCGGCCCGGCAGCACCTTCCTGCTGGGCTTCTGCATGAAGGGGATGCGCACGGGAGACTTCTGCGTCTTGGACTGCTTGGGGGCCGGGGATTTGGGGGCCGGGGCCTTGACCGGGGGTCCTGGTGGGGAGGACGAGCCCCCTGCCTTGCCCGCGGCTGGGGTGCCTGGCTTGGTGAGCTGGGAGGGTGATGGCAGCTTCTTGGGGCCGTGCTGGGAGGGCGTGGAGGTGCGGGAGGAGCCTGAGGAAGGGGGGCCCTTCCCCATGCGGGCGGGCGGTGTCGTGCTCCTCTTGGGCAGCGCCAGGTCCCCGGTTTCGGGGCCCTTGCCCAGCCGGTGCAGGCTCCGCGAGCGCTGCTGGCTCAGGGAGAGGTTCTTGGCTGGCGGTGCCTCGGGCTTGGCCACCGGGGTCTTCTTCGGGGTGGCCCGTGGGCTGGGGGCGTCCTTGGCCAGGCTGGGCATGTAGATGACGGTCCTGCCACGGAAGACCACGGGCAGGTTGGGCACCGGTTTGGTGGGTGCCGGGCTCCGCTCCGCCCTGGCACTGGCACGGCCGGCAGGACGGGCACCCGCCGTGTCCTTCCGCTCTGGGCGGCCCTTGCTGTGCTCCCTCCTCGCCGTGTCCCGGCCGGATGCACTGCCGGGCCGCTGCTTCTCCTGCCTGCCCAGGGAGAGCTGCAGCGTGGAGCCCACCGAGAGCCCCGACATGAAGGAGAGGATGGAGTCGGACTCGGAGGAAGGCTCCCGTGAGAGGGAGGCAGCAGCCTGGTGCAGCCAGGTGACGATGGAGTTGGCTCCCTCCTGGATGGCCTGCCACTCCACGCTGTCCAGGTCGGAGCCTCGGTCGGAGCCGGCGTCCTCATTGGGGTGATGCCTGACCTCGGCTTTCCGCTCCCTCCCGCCGGTGCCCGGCGGCTTCTGCTTGCGCTCCAGCCCCCTGCGGCGAACTGCGGGCCGCCGGCGCTTGGGCATGGCCGAGCCGATGCACTTCTGCAGCAGGTCATCCTCCGAGTTGAGGCTGGGGGAGCTGGGGGAGCCCCCCTGCTCCTGCCCCACCGCGGCCGACCGCGGCCACATGGCTTTGCCGCAGGGCTGGCCCCTCTCCTCACCATCCGAGAGGTTGGCGTCGCTCAGGGAGCTCATGGAGGAGCTGAGGGAGTAACAGGGCGGCGTCTCGTCGGCGATGAGGTTGTTCTGTGGTTTTGCCTTTGCCGGACGGGGACCGGGCTCAGGGTCCCTGCGGGGGATGGAGCCACCCGAGCGCTCCCTCCGGGGTGCCCGGCCGGGCTGGGCTCTGCTGCCGGAGCCCTCCCTGCCCGCCTCGGGCAGCTCGTCCAGCTCCGGATCGTAGAAGCAGTAGACGGCTTCCTCCGTCGGCGTGGTGTGGCACAGCGACTGGAAGATCACCCCATCCTCCTGAGGGTCATCCTTCCTCCCGGGGGCACTGCTGGCCCTGCCCACCCCCAACTCCAGGCTGGCTGAGCTCTTTGGGGGAATCTGGCCCCTCTTCCCCTCCCCGCCCTGGCCACGGCCTGGCCCCGCTTTGCCCTTGCTGGCAGAGCCGATCCTGGCGGGCGCCGAGCTGCCGGAGGCGGCTCTCCTGGCCGGGATGGTGCCGCCCTCGCGGCGCCCCTCGGGCAGGGGGTGCTCGGCCTCCTCGCCCGCCGGGTAGCGCAGGGTCTCGTCGCTCAGCGAGGCGGCGCTGGAGAAGTTGACGGGGGTCCCGTCGGCCGAGTCGGTGAAGGAGTCGTCGTCCTTGAAGAGGTCGCGGGCGGTGGCTCGCAGGTGCCTGGGGACGCCGGGGTGCGCGTGGGCCGGCACCAGCATGTAAACGGGGACGTGCATGGGCTTCTTGGTCTGGGGGTGCAGGACCTGGCCGGACAGCAGCGAGGTCTTGACCTTGCGGAAGCGGGAGGGCATGGCGGAGCTGATGCACTCCTTCAGGATCTCGATGTCGTCGTCGTCGGGGGGCTCGGGGCGGTCGGCCCGGCGCCGGCCCTCCAGGTACCGCTCCTCCCGCCGCTCCTCCCGCTTCTCGTGAGCCGCGAAGTTTAGGCTGTTCTTCTCCGGGAAGGTGGGAATCAGCTTGAGCTCCACGTCCTTCTGGACGTAGTGCTCGTGGAGGGGCAGGGCGCTCAGGCTGGAGGCACACGAGAAGTTCTCGTTGGGTTTCTCCACCGTGAAGTAGACCATGGAGTCCAGGTCCTGGGGCAGCTGGAAGCGTTCCTTGAAGTCTGTGATCTCCATGAACTTCTTGACGTTGTTCTCCCACTGGATGTTGAACTGGCTGGTCTCTTTCTCGGGCTGGCAGCCCAGCTCAAAGAGGGGGGTCTTGCTGCGGCTGGGGGGCATGGTCTGCCCGGGGCTGTCGGGGAGCTCGCTGGGGCTGATGGTGCCGCTGATCATCTCGCTGCATGGGTCACTCTGGATGGAGCTGGCGATGGAGGGGCTCTCGAAGCTGCCCAGG